ATACAGGCACATGCAAAACATGAAGCTGGACTCTTACACTTCATGCCATATATAAAAATAAACTCAAAATGGACCAAAAACCTAAGAGTGTGGGAGTGAAAAAAACTAACTCTCTTAGAAGAAGAAAATACAGGTATAAATCTTTAGGACCTTGGATTAGGCAATGAATTTTTAGATATGATACCAAAAGCATAAGCCACAAAAGAATAGATAAACTGGATTTCATGAAAATTAAAACCATTTGTGGGCCACCTGGGTGGCTCAGGTCATGATCTTGCAGCTTGTGAGTTGGAGCCCCACATCGGGCTCTGCACTGACAGCTCAGAACATGGAGCCTGCTTTGGATTCTGTATTTCCCTCTCTTTGCCCCTTCCCTCATTCACACTCCATCTCTCTCTCTCTCTCTCAGAAATAAACATTAAAAAAATTAAAACCGTAAGTCAAAGGACACTATCAGGAAAGTGAAAAGAGAATTCAGAAACTGGAAGAAAATAATTGCAAACCATGTAACTGATAAGGGACTTGTATCAAGAAAATAAGATATTGGGATATAATGTACAGTACAGGGAATATAGTTGATAATATTGTAAAATATATATTTTTTTAATGTTTTATTTATTTCTAGGAGAGAGAGAAAGACAGCGTGAGCAGGGGAGGGTCAGAGAGAGAGGGAGTCACAGACTCTGAAACAGGCTCCAGGCTCTGAGCTGGCAGTCAGCACAGAGCCCAACNGGTCTGTGACTCCCTCTCTCTCTGACCCTCCCCTGCTCACGCTGTCTCTCTCTACTAGAAATAAATAAAACATTTAAAAAAAAAAAAAAAAAAAAAGAAATAAACCCATGCCTCTGTGGTCATCTGATTTTTTTAAAAGGGTGCCAAGAGCATTCAATAATAGATTTTTCAACAAACAGTAAAAATTAATAGAGACAACTATACAGGCACATGCAAAACATGAAGCTGGACTCTTACACTTCATGCCATATATAAAAATAAACTCAAAATGGACCAAAAACCTAAGAGTGTGGGAGTGAAAAAAACTAACTCTCTTAGAAGAAGAAAATACAGGTATAAATCTTTAGGACCTTGGATTAGGCAATGAATTTTTAGATATGATACCAAAAGCATAAGCCACAAAAGAATAGATAAACTGGATTTCATGAAAATTAAAACCATTTGTGGGCCACCTGGGTGGCTCAGGTCATGATCTTGCAGCTTGTGAGTTGGAGCCCCACATCGGGCTCTGCACTGACAGCTCAGAACATGGAGCCTGCTTTGGATTCTGTATTTCCCTCTCTTTGCCCCTTCCCTCATTCACACTCCATCTCTCTCTCTCTCTCTCAGAAATAAACATTAAAAAAATTAAAACCGTAAGTCAAAGGACACTATCAGGAAAGTGAAAAGAGAATTCAGAAACTGGAAGAAAATAATTGCAAACCATGTAACTGATAAGGGACTTGTATCAAGAAAATAAGATATTGGGATATAATGTACAGTACAGGGAATATAGTTGATAATATTGTAAAATATATATTTTTTTAATGTTTTATTTATTTCTAGGAGAGAGAGAAAGACAGCGTGAGCAGGGGAGGGTCAGAGAGAGAGGGAGTCACAGACTCTGAAACAGGCTCCAGGCTCTGAGCTGGCAGTCAGCACAGAGCCCAACGTGGGGCTCGAACCCACGAACCGCGAGATGATGACCTAAGCGAAAGTCGGACGCTATAGTTGATAATACTGTAAAACCTTTGTATGGTAACAGATGATAACTAGATTTATCATGGTGATCATGTTTTAAAATTTTCTGGAGCGCTGTGCTGACAGTGTTGTGCCTGCTTGGGATTCTCTATTTCTTCCTCTCTCTCTGTCCCTCCCTCTCTCTCAAAAATAAATAAACATTAAAAAATAGAAAGTACTCAGCAATTACAAAGAATGAAATCTTGCCGTCTGTAACTATATGGATGGAACTAGAGGGTATTCTGCTAAGCAAAATTAGTCAGAGAAAGACAAATATATGACTTCACTCACATGAGGAATTTAAGATAAAAACAGACGAACATAAAGGAAAGGAAGCAAAAATAATATAAAAACAGGAAGGGGACAAAACATAAGAGACATAATATAGAGAATAAACAGAGAGGATGGGCTAAAGGAACATTAAGGAATCTACTCCTGAAATCATTGTTGCACTATATGCTAACTAACTTGGATGTAAACTAAAAAAAAAAATACATTTTTTAAAAAGAATAAATAAAAATAAAAAAGAAATAAAAAGAAAAAGAAAGAACTAGGCAAAGGATGCGAATACACATTTCTCCAGAGATATACAAATGACCAGTAAGTATGTAAAAAGATGCTCAACATCATTACTTATTAGGGAAATGCAACAAGACCACAATAAATATTTCACATCCACATGACGGCTATAATCAAAAAAAGTAAAATAACAGCTTTTGGTGAGGTTGTGGAGAAAGGAGAATTGTGTGTTGCTGATAGAAAAGTAAACTGGTACAGCCACTTTGGAAAACAATTTGCAAATTCCTCAAAAAACTAAACAAAGTTACTATTTGACCCAGCAATTCTACTCCTAGGGATACACCCAAGAGAAATGAAAACACATGTCCACATAGAAATGTGCACATGAATGTTTATAAGTAGCATTATTCATTGTAGCCAAAAAGTAGAAACAATCCAAATGTCCATCAGCTGATAAACAAATAAAATGTGGTATAGTCACACAATAGAGTATTATACAGCCACAGAAATGAAGTAGTGACTAATGCTGCAGCATGAATGAACCTTGACAATATGACACTGAATAAAAGCCAGACATAAAAGGCCACATATTAAATAATTTGATTTATATTAAATGTTCAGGAAAAGAAAAACCTATAGAGATAGAAAGTCTGTGAGTTAGGACTGGCTAAGGAATTTCTTTCTGAGGTGACAAAAAATGTCCTAAAATTGACTATGATGACAGCCATCCAAATCTGTGAATATACTAAAAACAAAAATAACAACATTCAGGGCGCCTGGGTGGCTCAGTCGGTTAAGCGTCCGACTTCAGCTCAGGTCATGATCTCACAGTTCGTGGGTTCAAGCCCCACGTCAGGCTCTGTGCTGACAGCCAACTCAGAGCCTGGAGCCTGTTTCAGATTCTGTATCTCCTCCTCCCTCTGACCCTCCCCTGTTCACACTGTCTCTCTCTCTCTTTCAGAAATAAATAAAACATTAAAAAAAAAAATAACAACACTGAACTGTACACATTAAGTAGGTGATTTATACAGTATGTGAAATACATCTGAATAATTTGTTACAAAAATGTCTTTATATTAAGAAAAAACTGATAGGGGCGCCTCGGTGGCTCAGTTGGTTAAGCCTCTGACCTCAGCTCAGGTCATGCATGATCTCACGTTCGTGGGTTCGAGCCCTGCATCGGGCTCTGTGCTGCCAGCTCAGAGGCTGGAGCCTGATTTGTCTCCCTCTCCCTCTGCCCTCCTCCTCTCAGGCTTTGTCTCTCTTTGTCTCAAAAATAAATAAAAATACTTTAAAGATTTTTCAGGGCACCTGGGTGGCTCTGTCGGTTAAGCATCCGACTTCAGCTCAGGTCATCATCTCACAGTGGGTTCTAGCCCCCGCATTGAGCTCTGTGCTGACTGCCAGCTCAGAGCCCGGAGCCTGCTTCAGATTCTGTGTCTCCCTCTCTCTCTGACCCGCCCCTGCTCATGCTGTCTCTCTCTCTCAGAAATAAATAAAACATTAAAAAAAAATTTTTTTTTAATTTTTTAAAAAGAAAAAACTGATAAACTTAACAGAAAAAAAGTGGAAACGCCTGAGTGGTTCAGTTGGTTAAGTGTCTGACTCTTGATTTCAGCTCAGGTCATGATCTCACGGTTGTGAGTTCAAGCCCTACATTGAGCTCTGCACAGATAGTATGGAACCTGCTTGAGATTCTCCCTCTCTCCCTCTCTATGCCTCCCCCACTTGCACTGTGTCTCTCAAAATAAGTAAATAAACTTAAAATAAACTGTAACATGATAAATTAAACATCATTTAAAATGTTCAACATCATTACTCATTAGGAAAATGCAACAAAACCACAATAAATACTTCATATCCACCAGGATGGCTGTAATCAAAAAGTAAAATAACAGGGGCGCCTGGGTGGCTCAGTCGGTTAAGTGTCCGACTTCGGCTCAGGTCATGATCTCATGGTTTGTGGGTTCAGGCTCTGTGCTGACAGCTCAGAGCCTGGAGCCTGCTTCTGATTCTGTGTCTCCCTCTCTCTCTGACCCTCCCCTGCTCACGCTGCCTGTCTCTTTCTCAGAAATAAATAAAACATTAAAAAATATTTTTAAAAGAAGTAAAGTAACAGCTTTTGGTAAGGTTTTGAAAGCCTCACTACAATAGAAGGTAAAGGAAAAATTTTCTTAAGTATCATATTCACAATGAAAAGAGTGGGAGACAAGACTATAGGAACAGCACTTCCAAAGCCAGACAGCAAACAGAGAATGGAAATTTGGTTTAGTTCTGCACTGTCTTTATTCTGCTAAGCTAAAGCTAATAGCAGGATAAACCTAAAAGCAAGACAAATTTTCCTTAAGGGATTCCAGAAAGACTCTGGGATTTGAATCTCCACACAAATAAAATAGAAATTATTTCCCTATTTCCCATCCAGTTGTGGTGAGTAGTAAAACAGGAATTGGATGAGAGCACTCTTCAAATAGTAAAATGCTATAAGAGTATAATATAAAGAAGCCTTATCAAAAAAATTTAAATAGTGATGCCTGGATGACTCAGTTGGTTAAGTGTCCAACTCTTGATTTCAGCTCAGGTCGTGATCTTACAGTTCATGGGACTGAGCCCCACGTGGGCTTGGGATCCTCTCTCTCTGCCCCTTCCCCCGGTCACTCACCCAAGAGTGCTCCCTCACTCTCTCTCTCTCTCTCAAAATAAAGAAATAAACTTAAAAAAATTAAATAAAAATAAAGGAGCATTATCATTACCTTGCCATGTCATCACCTCAAGGAATTGATCAGCTACTTCCTGAGGGAAACTCCAATGCTCAGGAAGGCACAATGTTCCATCAGATCTTTCAGAACACAATTTCTCTAGGTTAGCAATCAGGACATTCAGGCAGATGTTGACCAAAGAGTAGGGAGATGCCTCCTCCTAGAAAACAAACTAGGTTAGAATACATCCAGAAAAATTCAGCATAGAAGTAGATCATGCAGAATACAAACTACTTGATGAAGATATCTGAAGATACAGTCTCTTTACCGTAATAGTGACTTACATGATTTACATGTAATGAAACCACCCTATTCCAACTGTTAACTGAATGGAAGATTTTATCTATTTCTGTTGTACTTTGAAAAAAATAAATTCTCTCAATCCTTCACTCATCACTAGCCACTGAAAATACAGGGATGAGTGAAGTATTATTTTAATCCTTTTGGAGCTAATAGTGGGGAATACAAGAAATCTGACAATTTCAATAAAACACAAGAGACAACTCAAACAGAGGTCAGATGGTCATTCACTCAACAAATATTTATTATTCAGTGATTACTATGTCCCAGAGGATAAGAAGGCCTGCCTATTCTTTTTTTTTTTTTAAGTGTATTTTTTTTTAAGTTTATTTATTTATTTTGAGAGAGATCAAGTGCAAGTCAGGGAAGGGCAGAGAGAGAGAGGGAGAAAGAATCCCAAGCAGGTTCTGGGCCGGCAACACAGAGTCCGACACGAGGCTTGAATTCACAAACTGTGTCATCATGACCTGAGCCAAAACCAAGAGAGTCAGATGCTTCACCGACTGAGCCATGCAGGCGCCCCTGGCCTGCCTATTCTTACCCTCAAGTGGTCACAGCATTAAAGTGTACTAAACCAGGCTGCTGTAGAAGAGTAAGAACTGACAGTGAGGCAAGATTAAGTAGGCCCTTTCTCCTCTATAAGAAACTGGCATTTGTGTATTCAACAAATATTTGAAAGGCATGGCACTGTATCAGACAAGAAGAAACAGACATAGGTCAAACACAGGTTGTTACCTTTGTCAGAGGCTTCAACATGGAATAATTTCTTGACCTCCACACCACTTTCAACTGATTGAGTTCCCTCCATGGACCTAAGTATAAATTACTCCTTTGCAAATACCTCAAACTCCTTGTTCCCTCTCCAGAAAAACTCCATTCTTGGAAGAACTTTACTACCCAGTTTTTTGTGGCAACACACAGCAGCTAATCATCTACTAGGATGGAAAGGAGGAAGATTCACATAACATAGCATGTTACAGCAACTTCAGAATCATTAACTTCAAATGAGCCCTCCGTAGCTCTGAGACCGTTGTCTGTCCACAAGGTCTTCTAGATGGGGTATTCTCCCAATATCAGGCAAGAATTATTCCATCTCTTCTTGTTTCTCAAGTGCATTTTATACTATCACAATCTGACTGACTTCATGGAGAAAAATGAGGCCATCTCACCATCAAATTTAGCCAGAAAACACACGCATCTTTCCTTTACTCTCCTCCTACGTGGAAAACTTTGGGGGGAGGGAGAACACCTGGGTGGCTTAGTCGGTTAAGCATCCAACTCTTGATTTCTGCTCAGGTCATGATCTCATAGTTCCTGAGTTCAAACCCCACTTGGGATTCTCTCTCCCTCTCTGTTCCTCCCCTGCTTGTGCATGCATGCTCTCTCAAAAATAAACTTTAAAAATAAAAACAAACAAAAAAGAAAACGTGTACCTCCTTGCAAAGACCAATACTTCCACATGTGCTAACTAATTTAATCCCCCTTGCCTTGGTCCCTCCCGTCATTTCTTCATACATACATCTTCAAACTCTCCTCAAATGGATCATTCTTAACATAATTTATGTTCAGCTATATACCTTAAAAACAAAAATAAATATCTTCTGCTGAAACCCACATTCTCTTCAGTTACTCTTCTTCGTAACTGAATTTCTCCAATAAGTTCACATGCTATACAGTAGTCGCCCACTCATCCACATATCCATAGAAAATATGTTCCAAGAATCCCAGTGGATGCCTGAAACTGCCAACAGTACCAAACCTGATACATACACAGTTTTTTCCTATACATACCTACAGTAAAGTTTAATTCATAAATTAGGCACAGTAAGAGATTAACAATATACTGTGGTAAACAATATACAATATTAAAAATATACTGTGTTGTCTCTCTCAAAATATCTTATTGTACTGTACTCATCCTTGTGATGATATGAAATGATAAAACGCCTACGTGATGAGATGCAATGAGGTGAATGCCACAGGCAGTGTGAAGCAGTACTAGGCTACTAATGACTTTCTGACAATACCCCAAGAAAAGGATGACCTGCTTCCAGACCACAGTTGATTGAGAGGAAGTGAAAACACAGAAAGGGAAACCTTAGATAAAGGGAGACTACCGTAATCACTTTCTTCCTATTCATTTTTTTAAATTGAGGTCTAATTTACATATAGCAAAAAAGTTACTTTTTGGTGTACTTAGTTCTAGAAGTTTTAACACATGCAGTCATAGTACCATACCACCATAATAAAGATAGAGAACATTTCTATAACCAAAATTCCTGTGTTCCTTTGTAGACAATCCCTCCCACCAACCCCAAGCAAACAATTATCAGTGTTCTGTCCCCAGAGTTCTGCCTTTTTCAAAATGTCATATAAATAGAATCATACAATATGTAGGCCTTTTGAATCTGATTTCTTTCACTCCCCATAAAGCATTCAAGATTCATCCACGTTGTCTTTTTGTAATTTTTCTTTTTTATTGCTGAGAAGTATTATACCGCATCAAGGCTCCAGAATTTTATCACTAACTTAAGGGTATTTGGATTACTTAAAGTTTTAGACAATATTGAAGAAGGCTGCTATATTCATATAAAAGTTTGTAGGAACCTGGTTTTCATTTTTCTTGGGTAGTTTCCTAGGAATGGGATTCCTGGGTCCCTGGGATTCCATACTTCCTACCAGTATGTATTTAACTTAACATAAGAAATGTGCTAACCTGTTCTTGCAAAATGGATCTACCCATTTGCATTCTCAAAAGAACATAGTTTTAGTTGCTCCAAATCCCCAGGTCAGAATTCATGTCCAAAAGACTGAGGGAAGCAAAAACAATCCCTGAAAGTCTCAGGAGACTTCTACTTAGGTCTCAAAAGCCAGAATTGGTTCACAACCCCCTGGGAAAATGGAGATTATGCTTCAGGTGGGTAATTTCCATACATCTATCTCCCAGGTCACTAACTCTATATTTAGTGGTATATAGTTCTTCATAGTCTAATTGTGTATTACTCTTTTTTCGTGATTTATTTCATCCTTTGTATCTTTACTTTTAAATATATTTATTTTATGGTGTTTTAATAATCTATTTTCTGAAGCTTCCTGGAATGTAATCCTGTTGTTGATTCTGTTGATTCTTACTCATGGAGATTCATGGTTCATGAATTAAGATTGCAAATGCATCTTTAATGGGATTTTATTTATTGGACTCCTATGAGGCCTGGGTAGAAGACATGTCACAGAGGTGCCTGGTGTCTCAGTCAGTTAAGCATCTGACTCTTAATCTCCACTCAAGTCATGATCTCACAGTTCATAAATTCAAGCTCCCCATTGGGCTCTGCACTGACAGTGTGGGGTCTGCTTGGGATTCTGCCTCTCCCTCTTGCACTCTCTCTCTCTCTCAAAATAAATAAATAAACTTGAAAAAAGAAGAAGAAAAAAGATGTCACATCAGAGAGATTCTGCTAAACTATGGTTACACCAGGGGAAATACCAAGGATCACTCTGATAATTTCTCAACTACAGATTTCCTGAACAAAGCAAGAAATGTCAATTAAAATCCTGAATGTGGGAAAACTGAGTGGCTCAGTCAGTTAAGTGTTCATTTCTTGATTTTGGCTCAGCTCATGATCTTGTCGTTCAGTTCATGAGATTGAGCATCACACTGGGCTCTGCACTGATAATGTGGAGCCTGCTTAGGATTCTCTCTCTCCCTCTTTCTGCCCCTCCCAAGCGGTCCTGTTTCTCAGAATGAATGAATGAATGAATGAACGAATGAATAAATAAGAAAACCCTGGGTGTGTGTGAAGACAAGCCTATGGCAGCAAATTTTCTTTTAATGCTGATTTATTTTTGAGAGAGAGAGCACAAAGTAGGGGAGAGGCGGAAAGAGAGGGAGACACAGAATCTGAAAGAGGCTCCAGGCTCTGTGCTATCAGCACAGAGCCTAATACAGGGCTCAAACTCACCCCAACAGCGAGATCCTGACTTGTGATGAAGTTGGATGCCTGACTGAGCCACCCACAGGCCCTGATAGCAAATTTTTAGGGTATCTTTCCACTTAAACTCCACACCAAAACTGACCAAGATTCCCCATTTCCCTTTCCCACAAGCAAAAATCTTTGTATCTACCATTTCACTAAAGTAAAGCCAGCCTTTGTTAGCCCATATTATACTATACATATAGTATAATCTATACTCCACTCAAATTCCCTACCAGGTTTTGGCAAAAGCCTGGCCTCCAATCCCAGGTTATTGATACTGATAAATGTCAAAGCTTTAGGGTCTTCTTACAGTGCTGTTTTCCAGTTTATCTGAATTAGGTGGGAGTGTTGGGGATTTCTCTTACTTTGAGAATGTTTGTAAAATTTGACCCAAATATTTGGTTTTAAGATTTTCTGATATTATTTGCCATATTAGTACATGACAGTCCCATTTTAAAAATATAGTATAGTAGGGGCGCCTGGGTGGCTTAGTCGGTTAAGCGTCCGACTTTCGCTTAGGTCATGATCTTGTGGTTCGTGGGTTCGAGCCCCACGTCAGGCTCTGTGCTGACTGCCGGCTCAGAGCCTGGAGCCTATTTCGGAGTCTGTGTCTCCCTCTCTCTCTGACCCTCCCCTGCTCACGCTGTCTCTCTCTCTCTCCTAGAAATAAATTAAAAAATAAAAAATAAAATAAATAAATAAAAATAAAAATATAGTATAGTATAGACAGGACTGTCAAACACTAATCATAAGGAAAATGGAGTTAACTATATTAATGTCAAAAAAGGCTTCAAGGCAAGTATATTACCAGAATTCATAAAGATAAAAGCATTAATTCATCAAGAAGATGTAATTCCTAAATATATATGCACTTATTAACAGCTTCACGGGGCGCCCGGGTGGCTTAGTCGGTTAAGCATCCGACTTTCGCCCAGGTCATGATCTCGCGGTTCGTGGGTTCGAGCCCCGCGTCGGGCTCTGTGCTGCCAGCTCAGAGCCTAGAGCCTGTTTCAGAGTCTGTCACTCCCTCTCTCTCTGACCCTCCCCTGCTCATGCTGTCTCTCTCTCTCTCTCTCTCCTAGAAATAAATAAAACATTTAAAAAAAAAAAAAAAACAGCTTCAAAATTCATGAAGCAAACTCAAAGAATAAAAAGAAAAATCCACAATTAGAGTTGAAAATGAACATTCATTTTCAACAACTGATAAAAAACAAGTAGTTGGAAAATGAGTAAGAAAAGACTATGGAAAATTAACATTATCAACCAACTTGACCTGACATTCATGGATTATACCCGGCTGTACAATATATATTTCTTAGGCACACATAAATGTATCTGATAAATTATATCTGAGCCATAACATACACCTCAATAAATAATACACCTCAATAAATGTAAATGGATTATGAGGCACCTGGGTGGCTCAGTTGGATGAGTAACATCAGCTCAAGTCATGATTCTCACAGTTCCTGAGTCTGAGCCCTGCACAGGGCTTGGGACTCACCACCATCAGTGCAAAGCCCGCTTTGGATCCTTTGTCCCCCCTCTCTTTGCCCCTCCCCTGTTGGTGCTCTCCATCTCAAAAATAAATAAACATTTAAAATATATGTATACTGGGGCGTATACTAGAAATAAATAAAACATTTAAAAAATAAATAAATAAATAAATAAATAAAATATATGTATACAGGGGCACCTGGGTGGCTCAATCGGTTAAGCAGCCAACTTCAGCTCAGGTCATGATCTCGCAGTTCATGAGTTTCAGGCCTGCATCGGGCTCTGTGCTGATGGATGGGAGCCTGGAACCTACTTCAGATTCTATGTCTCCCTCCCTCTATGCCCTCCCCACTCACGCTCTGTTTCTCTCTCTCTCTCTCAAAAATAATAAACATTAACAAAAATTAAAAAAAATAAAAATATATATATGTATACAAATGGATTAAAATCAGAGAGTATACTCTCTGACAGTAATTACGTTTGGTCAATTTATGGGCATCTGGGCGGCTCAGTCAGTTGAACGACCGACTTCGGCTCAGGTCGGGATCTCACGGTTCGCGGGTTCAGGCCACATCGGGCTCTGTGCTGACAGCTTGCTCAGAGCCTGGAGCTTGCTTCGGATTCTGTGTCTCCTCTCTCTGCCCCTACTCCGTTCGTGCTCTGTCTCTCAATAATAAATAAATGTAAAAAGAAAAAAAAATGTTTTTTAAAAAGATGTGTGTGGGATGCCTGAGTGGCTCAGTTGGCTGAGCACCCCCAACTCTTGATTTCAGCTCAGGTCATGACCTCATAGTCTTGGCATCAAGCCACGTGTAGGGCCCTGTGTTGGGTACAGGGCCTGCTTGGGATTCTCTCTCTCTCTCTCTCTCAATCCCTCTGCCCTCCTCCCTTAAGAAAAAAAAAAGATATGTGAAATATCTCCAACTATTTGGTAATGAAACAATACATTTCTAAAAATCCCATAGTTCAAAGAAGAAATCATAATGAAAATTAGAAAAAATTCTGGATAATATACCAGAGTTTATGGGTATTAACCAAAGCACTGTTGGACGAAATTTTTATAATAGAAACAAAGATATAAGGGGTGGCTGGGTGGCTCAGTTGTTACGTACGTGTCCAGCTTCAGCTCAGGTCATGATCTCAAGGTTTGTGAGTTCAAGTCCCGGTTCAGGCTCTTTGTGACAGTTCAGAGCCTTGAGCATACTTCAGATTGTGTGTGTGTGTGTGTGTGTGTGTGTGTGTCCCTCCCCCACTCACGCTGTGCCTCTCTCTCAAAATGTAAAAACATTAAAAACAATTTAGAAACAAGATATAAAATTAATGATCTAAGTTTTCACCTTTAAAAGATCAAAGAAAGTTAAACCCAAAGTAAACATAAAAAATTATAAAGATACAAGCAGAAATAAGAGAAAACAGATGTGCAATGGATTTAAATCAAAGCCAAAAGTTAGTTCTTCAAAAAGACTAATAATTACTAAATCCCTAGGTACAAAGACTAAGAGAAAGTAGAAAGAGAAAACACCAATACCAGGAACAAAAGAGAGACCATCATTACAGATCCTATAAACATTAAAGGGACAATAAAGGAATCATATGAACAATTTTGCCAATAAATTTGGTAACTCAGATGAAATAGGCAAATTACTAGAATAACAAACTACAAAAACGGATAATCTGTTAATAAGTACATACATATTTAGGAATGTTAGGTCTTCTTGATAAATCGATGCTTTTATAAAACATAAAATTAAGTATATGAATAACTCTCCCAAAGAAATTAGTTTCAGTGGCTTCACTGACAAGTGCTACTAAACATTTAAGGAAAAAATAATCTCAGGGTCATGAGTTCGAGCCCCACATTGAAGGCAGAGTTTACTTAAAAGAAATAAATTAATTTAATTTTTAAAAAGTAAAGAAATTATTGGGGCGCCTGGGTGGCTTAGTCGGTTAAGCGTCCAACTTTCGCTTAGGTCATGATCTCGCGGTTCGTGGGTTCGAGCCCCGCATCGGGCTCTGTGCTGACTGCCGGCTCAGAGCCTGGAGTCTGTTTCATTCTGTGATGCCCTCTCTCTCTGACCCTCCCCTGCTCACGCTGTCTGTCTCTCTCTCTCTCCTAAAAATAAATAAAACATTAAAAAAAAAAAAAGTAAAGAAATATCTACCCTCCACAAACAATAAACTGAATAGAAAAAAAACTGAACAAGGTACAATTCCCAATTCATTCTTTGAAGCCAGCATTACAGTGGTATTAAAACGATGTAAAATATCTCTGGAGAGCAATTTACCTCATAAACATGGACATATAAATACTTAATGAAATATCAGCAAATAGAATCCTGTGGCATACAAAAATAATACATCATGACCACGTGGGGTTTAGATGCAAATGTAAAGTTAAATTCACAATCTAGAGAGTCCACTGCATTAACAGAAAAACAACAAAAACATATAATCTTAATAAATGCTGAAAAAGCATGACAATATCCACAATCATGGTTTTAGAAATATTCCTGGCAAACTAGGAATAGAAGAAAACATCCTTAACTTGTACAGGGCATCTATGGAAAAACCTTCAGCCAGTATCATACTAAAAGGTGAAAGATCCAGAACACAAAGATGTCTACTTTCACCACTTAAGCATTCTACAAAGGTTCTAGAGACAATACAATTTAGAAAGGAAATAAAAGCACAGAGCAAAAAAAAAAAAAAAAAGAAAAAAGCACAGACCAAAAAGGAATAAAGTAAAGCTGTCTTTATCTGCAGATGACATAACTGTGAAGAAAATGTTAAGAAATCTTTAAAAAAAAAAAAAGTGAATGTAGCAAGATTGCAGGGTACAAGATCAATACACCAAAAAATTTTTGGTACTGTTTCCAAAAATATTTTTACAGTATCAAAAATAGGGTCGAATTTAAAAAAATATGTCGCAGACCTTTATTATCAAAAACAGCACATTACTAAATAAAATTAAAGATGACATAAATGGAGAAATATATATAAGTGAAAATGTGTTAATTTTCAAGATTAATTGAAAATAAAATCTTACCAAGAAAATGAATGTATACAGTACACTATGGAACCAGACAGAAAAATGGGTTGGTTTGATTTCTAGAGAAAAATCTTGTTTCAATTCCAATTAGCAGCAACAAAAAATGTGCTTGAGATACCCAACTCTTGCATTAGCTACAAACAAATTTACAAATTATATAGCAGCATTAAAAAGTGAATCCAATAGGGTACAGGAGTGCAGGCCAGATCTTTGCAGGGCACAACAGCTTACCGACGAGGCGTTTGTAAAGCACAACTTTAATGACATTTCCTTCCCTCCATATTTTAGGTTGAGCCTTAGCTCGATTTTGAGTTCAAAGAGGGTAGCCCTTGGGGGCGTTGTAGAATGTGGAATCTGACCCCAGAACACCGGATGTCAAGTTCAGGTTCTTAAGCAAATCAACTAACCTTTAGAGTCAACTGCCCTACACAAGAAAAAAATGGAGGCTATCAATGCATATAAAAGACTAGAGATAACCAGATTAATCTAGAAACGCGATACTTAACACACAATAAGCCGAAAATACACTCTCTTGGGTTGCATTTTTGTAGGTGTAGTTTAATAGGAATTCGCGGGGCGGGGGGACACGTGAATTGAAGGAATTTCATGTCTTGGGGTTCTAGCTCCTCGCTGCAGGACTCAGGAGAGGCTTCCAGCTAGAGTTCCCGGGCACAAGGCCTCGGGTACTAGGGACTGCTGGGTCACAGTCTCTGCGGAGTACCACGTCCACAACGCACGTGGCAGTGCGGTCGAGGTCTGGGGCATTTGGGTTCATTATGACACTAATAAGCAACACCTTCAACTGCCGGCCAAGCCTAGTGCCATGCCCAGAACTTGCGTCAGAACTTACACACCCCTCAGCGAAGCAGCTGCTGCCTCCCGCAGACACAAGATGAGAATCGCAGACCTGAAGAAGGGACGCCCTCGAGGTCAGCCAGGGGGGCAGAACTCACCCTCGCCGCGCCCGAAAACAGCGGCTCCGGGTCGGCGCTCTCGGCCCTGAGGCTGGGACGCCCGGGGAAGAAAACTCCCTTCCAGAGTGCACTTCCCCGGCGACGACAGGCGCCCAGCCGCGGCTCACTCTACAGACTTTACCCCCACGTCTGCCAAACGAACCAGCAAGTGCCTCCGCACAGTCCCCGACGACTCTCTGGCGAGCGCGGCGTCCCGCCGAGGTTCGCGTCCCCGCCCCGGTGCTCACCTGCACCACGCAGCAACCCAGGGCATCCTTCTGAGCATCGGGAGGGACGATATTCCTGGGCGAAAGGCCCGGGTGCAAGAAGTGAACCATGGCGACCCCCGTCGGCGGGGCGGCAGGAGAGAGCGGGCGTCGAGCGCGGACCCGGATCCCGCGAGAGAAGGAGTCGAACCTAGCGGTGAGGCAGCTGAGCAGCGCCCGCTCCCGTGCAGCGCACGCAGCGATCACGCTGCTCCGTCCCGGCCGCAGGGGTTTTGAAACGCCCGGCGTGGCCACGCGCACGCGCCGGCCGCAGCCTCTCCCCCTCCCGCGGAGGACGGACAGCCGCAGACCCCGCCCCCAGGGCCGGATCTCCCCTCGCCTACCGGTGCAGACCACTACCCCACCCTATCAGGGCCCAACCGTCTTTCATTGGGTACATCAACGCCGCAGAGAGCGGTCACCCAACTCCTTCTCACGCCTCTGAGACCAACTTGTCTCAAACCCACACCTTGGAGTATGCCCACAGACTAACTCTGTGAAGCTGGAAAATAGAATATATTTTTATTTATTTTTAGTAATCTCTATACCCAACGTGGGGCTTAACTCACGACCCAAGATTGAGGGTCTCATGGTCTAATGACTGAGTCAGCCAGGCACCCCTAGAATATATATATTTTTTTAATACTTCAAAATACATATTTTTAAACACCCTTCTCCTAAAACTGTGGTAATGACACCAATTTTACCATTCTTTGTTGATTCAACTGCAACTGACACTGAATGAATCAAGTATCAAAAACCCTTCTTTTTTTTTTTTATTTTTTTTTTTATTTTTTATTTATTTCTAGGAGAGAGAGAGACAGCGTGAGCAGGGGAGGGTCAGAGAAAGAGGGAGTCACAGACTGAAACAGACTCCAGGCTCTGAGCTGGCAGTCAGCACAGAGCCTGACACGGGGCTCGAACCCACGAACCGCGAGATCATGACCTAAGCGAAAGTCGGACGCTTAACCGACTAAGCCACCCAGGCGCCCCATATCAAAAACCCTTCTGACTTGTCAGCTTTCTTGTGACCTACAAGGTACCAGGAAAATCCTTATAACCTGCTCCAAGAAAGAAACCCTGAGGCAGCAGTAAATTAGTACACTTCAGCTAATTTAAGTAAAACTATGTCTTGAAAACAGTAGTTCTTAAGAGTATGAGGCTTAGATTTTAATTCTGGATTGGAATGCCTGTTCAGTCATCTAATTTGTGAACCTTGAGCAAGTTTCTTAATTTTTCTGAAGCTCAACAACCCCATGAGTAAAGTGGGCTAAGAATATGTTAGCCACAGGGTTGGTGTAAAGATTAAACACGATAACATACATAAAACTATGATAACACTTGACACATAGCAAGTCCTTAATAAGAGGATTCAAAAGTTAGTTATTTTTCAAGTACAAATACTTTGCAAAATGCTTTCCCTTCACATTTATTATTTTATTTAATCCTCATTAAAAAAAAATTCCAGGGCACCTGGGTGGCTCAGTCAGTTAAGTGTCCGACTTGAGCTCAGGTCATGATTTCACTGCTTGTGAGTTTGAGCCCAGTCTGATTCTGTGGTGATAGCTCAGAGCCTGGCCTGTGTGTAGCTCTCTGCTCTTCCCCCACTCGCACTCTGTCTCTCAAAAAAATAAGAAACATTAAAAAAAAAAAAATTCTTTACAATACGTATCTCCATTTTACCCACAAAGAAACTGAATACCTGAGAGGGTGCATAGACAAGTTAAATTTTACCCACGTGATGAGTGGAAAACCTGGGAGTCAAAATCCAGTTTTCTAAGTCCCAGTCCAGTCAATGTTGGGAGTTTATTGTCAGTGGACTATTTCATAACTTCTCTATCCTCAAACTTCCAATACTTCCTCCCCAAGCATATTCTCAGCTTCCCGTTTTGCTGAAAAAAAGAAAAGCAATGAAATAAAATTTAAAAAAAGAGCATCCCTTGTTCCCACCATCGACAACTACCCACCTCTCTGTATGGCCAAATTGTCTTTGCTTTATTACAATCAATTATATTCCTCTTACCTAAGGTCAGCTCCTGCACTTGGACTTGTCCACTAGATCTTACTCCCTCTTGCTTATTCAAAGACATCATCCAGCAACATCCTTTCTTTCTCCTGCATTATCATTTTTCTTGGCTCATTGCCACCAACACATAAATAAGCTGAAGGGCACCTGACTGGCTCAGTGGGTACAGCACGCAATTCATGATCTTAGGGTTGTTAAGTTTGAGCCCCACGTTGGGTGCAGAAATTGCTTAAAAATAAAATCTTTAAGGGGCACCTGGGTGGTTCAGTAGTTAAGCTTTCAACCCTTGGTTTTAGCTCAGGTCATTTTCTCATGGTTCATGGGCTCGAGCTCCTGCTTAGGATTCTCTCTCCCTCTCTCTCTGCCCGTCCCTGGCTCTCTCTCTCTTTCTCTCTCTTTCAAAATTAATTAATTAATTTTAAAATAAAAAATAAATTTTAAAAAGCTTATACTCTTCCCATAACTAAAAACAAAAAATACTTTTGACCTAATGATTCAAGTTGTAAAAATAAAAAACAAATAGAGACCACCCTCAAAAATTCCCTGAACAGAAAAAAACGGTTTAGTCATACAAAGTTTAATTTAACTTATTTTGCAAGGCTAACTTAACCTGGGTCATTTCTTGCTTATGTTTCTGAAAAAAATAAGCAAAACTTAAACTGTTTCCCAAGATTGGTATGAGGTAACCATTGACCAATTCCTTATCATTTAAGAAAACTCTAATATTATAATCAACCACTGTATAACCCCAGAGCCTCATTCCATTTTTTGGTTTTGAGTGCTCTTGGTCTGGCAAAGTTTTGGTGTGCACAAGAAACTTTTACTAATCACTACTTTGGTGATTCATTGGTTTGCTATTACTTCTGAACTTTTGACAAGGTGTTACTCCCCTATCTCTTCTACTCTTTACAGTAAAACCTCTCTAAAGTGTGGTCTGTACTTGCTGTCTCTTACCATTTTCTTTCACCCTGGCCACTCCACTAAACAGTTCTTGTCAACTTCCAAGTTGATAAATTCACTTTTCATTTTTCATCTTATTTGACTGTTCAGCAGCATTTGACCCAAGTGATTTCTTCTTCTCTAAAATACTTTCACAAATTAATTAATTAATTAATTAATTAAAATACTTTCATTTGGCTTCCAGAATACATCTCTTCCTCCCACCTCCCCCAACCTCTTTCTTCTTTCTTTTTCTTCCTCCCACCTCCCTGGCTGCTCCTTCTCATCCTCCTGACTCCTCATCACTCAGAGGAATGAGTGTACGCCAAGACTTAGTACTTGTATACCTCTCCTCTATCCATTCTTTTTTTATTATTATTATTTTTAAATTTATTTCTGAGAGAGAGAGAGAGAGAGAGAAAGACAGCATGAGCAGGGGAGGGTCAGAGAGAGAAGGAGACACAGAATCCGAAACAGGCTGCAGGCTCTGAGCTGTCAGCACAGAGCCCGACGCGGGGCTCGAACCCACGAACCGTGAGACCAGGACGCGAGCCGAAGCCAGATGCTCAACCGACTTGGCCACCCAGGCGCCCCTCCTTTATCCATTCTTTTATTTGTGGGTATTTTATCTAGTTTCATAACTTTAAAAGCAATCTATATGCTGATGTATCCCTATTTTTTTGATGTCTACCATATGCTTCACTTTTAAAGTTCAGACTCATACCCAGCTGTCTATTCAACATATCCACCTGGTTATATAAACAGCCTTAATGTGTCCAAAAGTAAAATCTTGATATCCTCCCCCTAACTTGCTTTTCTTGCCAGTCTTTCCTTTTTCAGTATATATGGTAACTTCTTCATTTTCAGTTGCTTATGAAATCTTGGAAATCGGGGTGCCTGGGTGGCTCAGTCGGTTAAGCGTCTGAATTCAGTTCAGGTCACGATCTCACAGTTTGTGGGTTCGAGCCCCGCGTCGGGCTCTGTGCTGACTGCCAGCTCAGAGCCTGGAGCCTGCTTCTGATTCTGTGTCTCCCTCTCTCTCTGACCCTCCCCTGCTCACGCTGCCATCATTTTTAATTCCTCTTTTATTCTCTCTCCTTTTTTTAAGTAGGCTTTCTGCCCAACCTGAGGTCTGAACTCATGACCCCAAGATCAAGAGTCCTATGCTCTACCAACTGAGCCAGTCAAGTGTCCCCTCGATTTTTATTCTTGTAACACCTATCCTACCTTTTAAGGAATCCTATTCGTTCTATCTTCAAAATATATTTAGAGATTATCTACGTCCTACCTCTACCCTGGGCCAACCACCTGTCATTGCCCACTAGGATTTTTACAATAACTTCTCTCATACCTCAGCTTCCACCCTTGCTCCACGGAAATCTGTTCTCAATACAGCAGCTGGAGTGATCATTTTAACCCGTCATGTCACCCTTCTAAACAAAACTCTCCAGGGGCGTTGGATGGCTCAGTCAGTTAAGCATCCAACTTTGGCTCAGGTCATGATCTCACGATTTGTGGGTTTGAGCCCTGCGTCGGGCTCTGTGCTGACAGCTCAGAGCCTGGAGCCTGCTTCAGATTCTGTATCTCCCTCTCTCTCTGACCCTCCCCTGCTCACTCTGTCTCTCTGTCTCTCAGAAATAAATAAAACGGGGGCGCCTGGGTGGCTTAGTCGGTTAAGCGTCCGACTTTCGCTTAGGTCATGATCTCGCGGTTCGTGGGTTCGAGCCCCACGTCGGGCTCTGTGCTGACTGCCAGCTCAGAGCCTGGAGCCTGTTTCAGAGTCTGTGACTCTCTCTCTCTGACTCTCCCCTGCTCTCTCTCTCTCTCTCTCTCTCTCTCCTAGAAATAAATAAAACATTAAAAATTAAAAAAAAGAAATAAATAAAACATTAAAAAAATAAACAAAAGTCTCCAATAAACTCCCATGTATGAAGAATAAAAAAAATTCTTAAAGATGGTGTTCTAAGGGGGGGCAAAACACAAGAGTCTTAAATATAGAAAACAAACAGAGGGTTGCTGGAGGGGTTGTGGGAGGGGGGAGGGGCTAAATGGGTAAGAGACATTAAGGAATCTACTCCTGAAATCATTGTTGCACCATATGCTAACTAATTTGTTCTTTGTTTTTTTTTTAATGTGTTTTTTTTTTTTAATTTATTTCTAGGAGAGAGACAGCGTGAGCAGGGGAGGGTCAGAGAGAGAGGGAGTCACAGACCGAAACAGGCTCCAGGCTATGAGCTGGCAGTCAGCACAGAGGCCGACGCGGGACTCGAACCCACGAACCGCGAGATCATGACCTGGGCGAAAGTCGGACGCTTAACCGACTAAGCCACCCAGGCGCCCCCTTTTTTTTTTTAAATTTATTTCTAGGAGAGAGAGTGAGACAGAGTGAGCAGGGGAGGGTCAGAGAGAGAGGGAGTCACAGAC